CTCGCTCCGCCACCGCCAGCTCTCCCAGCGGGCCGGCTGGTAATGGTCGTGTTGTAATTGTAATTGCAGTAATACTTGTGTCGCTCCGTGTTCGCACTGCTTTGGTGTTTTGGGGCTGTGTTTGGGTGCACCACGGTGGTCTCAGAGGCCAACACAGTGTGTAAAGGTCAAATTCTCCCCTCGATTTCACCTGAGGCGCTCAAGGAGACTGTGCAAGTGCTATCTCTTGGGTGACACCGTCATTCCCGTGTGATCAAGTGTGGGGACAACTAACCAGATACCCATCCTTGCGCGCCAGTGGCTCATCCAAGAAGCGTGGATACAGTTTACTGTTTACCTAGCAACCGGGACATGCGAGATGTTTTACAGCCAGAATAACTCCGGTTCGTGCTCCCTAAAGATTACAGCCTGGTCAGTGTACAGGAAAATCCCCATGACTCTCCTCAGGGACCGTTGCCATCAAATTCATGAAAGTTTAAGGGTTTACGCATCAAATGCTGAAGACAGCAAGAGATAAATAGGGGAATGATGCAAATGAAGTGATAGGAATAAAGTTAGGAAAAGAAAGGAATCTGTGGAGTTGGGTTATGGGTTTTTAGTCCATAAGGCATAATACATATAAGGCAGCTCAGAAACATCCTTTTTTGCTGTAACATTATGCTTTAGGGGCTCAACTGAGGCAGAAATAAACATACAAAAAATATTTTAAAGGGGCTGACCACAAGGAATGGATATTTTTTCCTATGAAGTCAAACGAGTGAATATTCTGTCATTTTCTGAGCTAATGATGACAGTCCGGTCCCTGCTCTCGGGGTGGTTTCTGGCCCCCTTGCCCCGATAGCTGCAGTCTGGGGTGTTGTGTGGCAGCTAAAGATCACGCATGGCCTGCAGCGAGGCACCCGGCCCGCCACGAAGCAGCAGCCAAAATAGCCCTGTCACTTTGAATAGCCAGAGCTTGCCGGTTAAACCGTGTGAGCGCTTCAGCTACATGAACTGAATCCTAAAACAACTGTTAACATTTTAAATCATATTTGAATAGCTATAGTTAACGTCTTAAGTGCAAAATGGCTACTTTACTTGGATAAACCGGATAAGCAAAGCACCTTGGCTAATCTGTAGTTACATGCAACTGGCTAAGTAAATACACTCGCAGAAACGGCTTGTCTTCATCTAACTGCATAAAAATTACAATGTTTCTGGCTAAAAAAACTTACCTCAAGGCATTCCGAGTGGGTTTATGAGTCTTTTGGGCCAAACTTTCTTATATGTCTTTACTGTATTTAAGGGCAAACTATAGAAGTTGGTAGTTGGCATGTAAGCTGTTTCCTTTTTATTCTATTTTTTTTTAATTTATTTTGATAGTTTATATAGAAAAGAAGGGAAGTCTGGAAAGCATTAGAACCAAGGCTATTGTGCTAATTTTATGCCTCACATAGCACAATTGTTTGGAACAGAGCTAAAAAATGGGAAGGAGTTTCGGAATCAGGACTTTAAAAACCCATAGTTTATTCCATTTCTTTGGCTGATGATAATCATGAACATTTTAATGAAGTAAATGCAAAATAGAGCAAAAAAAAATTCCCCCCCCCCCCCCCCCCCCCCCCCCCCCCCCGCAAAATAAAAGAGAAAAAAAAATCAGGAAAGGCTTTTAGCAGGAAAACCTGCTAAATAAAAACCTTGAGAGAACAGTGCCTTAGCAGTAAAGGTGACTGAAAATAAAAAAGTGACAACAATTGTACAAAAGAATCGGGACTACGTGCAGTTACTTGCTTTGTGCCAGCCATAGATACAATTAATGAATTAATGGTTGAATATTACCATGTGCTTATGGATTTACTGCTGAGTTTAAAGAACTCACAGAGTAAAAGTATGTTTCCTTGATCTGAAAAATATGATTTACAGCTCCTTGTAAAGTCCACAAGAGCCCCTATGTGGGGCTCCTCCTCGGATTGGAAGGATTGTTAGGGACAACCATCGTGTAGTCTGGAGATTACAGAATAAAACCAGCCCTGGGGATTTCTGAGAGCCGGTCCTGCCAGGCTCTGGGGGGCCTGGCACTGGCTTCTGTGCCTTGTCCTTTCACAGAAAGTGAGACGGCCCTGGATTAGGTCCCTGGGGATCTGCTTGTTCCTGGAGGGATGACTGCAAGTTTCAGAGGAGCCTTGTGCCAAAGCAGCCGGAGCCGTGTGCCAAGCAGCCGATCTGTTTCCCATCTGCCACAGGATTTGTGCCTGGAACCAGAGCAAGGGAGAAATCACTGGGGTTATGTAGCTAAGTTATCTCCTTTGATCTTTATAGGTTCAGCTATTTTGTGAAGTTGGAAGGAATTAGCAGATACTTCAAGTTAATCGCTGGAGATAGATAACATGCTTCTTCACACTGCATATAGTTCTGTTTGCTGTTCATTATTACTGTATATTTATGTATATGCTACTGTGGTGCCTGATGATTTCAGTGGGATGAATAGGAGACCACGCAAAGTTAGTTCCTCCAAAGGATTTTCAAACCCTCTCCGTTCTCTCTTGATCTGTTTCCTCTGGTAGCTCCTACTGCTCAGGTAGCACTGATTGGATGGTGATTTTTAACAGACGTATTTCTGTAATTTGTTTTAGTTAAAATGAGATTTTTGCTGTCTTGTTATTTCTGCTTTTATGACCCATTGTTTTAGTTGCTACTGGTCTGAGGTTTGTTTTAATTTGGCAAGTGCTCTTGTCATATACTGTAGACTTGATATTTTTAGCAAGCCTGATATACCATTCCCTACATATTGAAATGGAAACAGGAAAATTTGTAGTTTCATTGATTCCTACATGAAGCCAGACCTAGGTTCTGTCAATTTTGGAGGGCAAATTTCACAGCCTGTGTTGCAGATCAGGGACAAGTGAAGCAGAGCGATACCAGCTGCGGTTCCCGAGCCACAGGTGGCTCCTGGGCCACCTCTGCTATATAATGAGAGCTGCAGGGTGGGTTGCTGAGTGGTCCAAGTCCTCTCTTGTTCTTGTGAGGGAATGTGGTCTTATGAAAGTAGCCAGGAGCCTCTGCAGGGGTTGAAGTCATGGGATCACCTCTGGTGCCAGGTACCTAAGTCAGCTCTGTCCTGACACCCAGCAGTGGTCTGGGGCCCAGGGGAAAGTCCTGTAGCCTCCTACCTGTGAGTAAATCCAAAAGTTTTGCTTTGCTTGGTTACCCAGCATCTGTGATGTCTCTTGTGGGTCTCATGGGTGAATTTAATGAGACTTCAAAAGGAGAGGAAGGTTAATGTGCTTCATAATGGGGAGTTGAGCCCAAAGCTCTAAAAAAAATTACAAGTTTTTTCATCCAAAGATCTCACTTCATCTTCATATGATTTTCATTTTCCTTATTTCAATTGTGTTTTACCTAAGGTGCCTTTTCTTTGTATTCTATTGTTGTAGCAGACCCAGCTTCTTTCTTCTGTCATCCCATTCTTTTCTTCTGTTTCCTTGCAGTGTTTCTCTAGTTTGAGTTGTGTCAGTGCTTCCCCCTAGTGCATTCTGTTGGCATGTGATTTTTTTCCATCATATCGAGAACTTAAAACATGCTTTCTTATTCTATGTTTTCAGTTACTAGTGGAATAAAGCTTATACCAGAGTAAAATAAAATATGCTATATAAATATTGCTATATTAGGTGCACAATATTGCTATATTAGGTGCACTATATTGCTATTCTATATGCTGTATTAGGTGCACAATACATTTCATGATCTAAAAAACAGGTACAGACTTTGGAGGGAATGTAGTGATAATTAAGCAGATGTTGCATGACACCTGATATCTGCATTTTGGTTTATAAATTCAAAGATGATATTTGGGGTGGAATTAATTGTATATGATTCCACCTTATCAGTGTTTTTGTTCAAGGTCAAATACCAAATTATGAATGACACATCTATTATACTTATTCAAGATTATCACTGAATTCTGGTTTTTGTTTTGTCTTATGTTGCTGTTGTTTCTATTATTTCTAATCAAGTCTGAAACATTTTGAACAAAGTAAGTTCAGGCTGAAGACAGGATTAGCAGTAGTGAGGCTGGTGAGAAAGTATTGTCCGCAGCTGGACTCTGCGCTGGAAGCTGGTTTCTCCTCTTGCAGCTTTTCAGCTCCTCTGCGCTGCCTCAAGTCTAATTAATCAATTGTTATGTGGGTGTAGCTATTTCTACGCTGGCTCCAGAGAGCTCCCCAAAGGTCTGGTTTTTGCCAAGTCGCATGAAGCATTATTCCTGCAGAAGTGAGAGTCTGGCAGCCTCCCAAATACCTGGACTAAAAATGAAATAAGGGTGTATTTATTATTATTATTGTAATTGCACAGCTGGCATGCTCAGGCCAGGGAGAGACAAGGCAGAGGCTGTAGTAGGAAAGACTTTTTTTTTTAATAAGAAAAAACCTAAGTGGAGAGAGGTGCTTAACAGTTGTTGAGGTTGTTCCAGCTGCAGACCAGGAATTCTAAAGCTCACAAATTAGGTCTGGCACAAGAGTGTTGCTGTTTGTTTTTCAGTTGGAGAAGCATAGAACAGGTATGTTTGTTCAATTGGTTGCAACTTAAGGCACAGGTCTCTGTCCTTCTGCTAAAGAGCCCAAAAATAACTTGGGATAAGAATGATTGGAAGAGTGGTTCATCTCCTACTTCTCTGAAGTTCTGACCACTTTGAGTAATCTGAAAAGCTTTCGCTGCTAGATTAAGCTCATGACCAACTGAACTAGGTGAATCATTACTCGGAAAAGGAAGTTACACAAGTGATATATCTAATTTCACTTCTCCCTGCACAGTTTCCAGCTTCTTTCTTTATCATAAAATGTAATACATTATTGGTAAACTCTTCTGTTAGAACATATTTGTAAAAGGTAATCTATCTTGATTTAACTCCAGTTTTATGTTGTTGTTTAGCTTTTCAGACTCAGATTTATTTCTTACTGATATGGGAACTGCTCATGACTTCTGACATGATACACAAGTCAGAAGTTGGATACCCCCTTAGTTTCACCAGTTGCTGGGGAATGGACTCATTAGCACGTACTGCGTCTGATCAGCTGTTTGCTCCTATTGAATTTCAAATTTGGAATAAAACCAGACGATGATCTAACCTGTCTCCATAATTATTTTATTTTATCATCCTTAATTCCTCTTTTCCAGTATTAAACCTGTCAGAGCCAGTGTGTGACATTTCATCCATCTATGAATGGCATGCTAAATATCCTGTTGCAAAGACTGTGGGACATCTGCTGCTCAGTGTGGGTTTCAGAGATGCTTTACAAGAAATACCTAAA